CTCAGATTACCCCCAGCCCGAAATTCGGGTCTTCGGGTTGGGTTGGGGTGGTCTGGTAGGTAGTCAGGACAGCAGCAGGGAGGGACGGATGCGGCGAGGCGTGCCAATCTCGGCTCTGCCGCTGAAGCCTTCACGCTCCGCCCCTCCGCCTGCAGCCGCGCGGCCGGCGAGTGGCCTCGTGCTTCTCGGTCTCGGCCCCTCGTGCTGGTTGTGGCGAGAGGCGGGATGATAGCACGCCAGGAATGTGGGGATGGAGAGGAAGCAAGGAATAAGCGGAGGAGGAGGAGGAGGAGGCGGAGAACGACGAGGAGGAGGAGGACGAGGAGGAGTGCGAGGAGGAAGAGGAGGAGGAGGAGGAGGAGGAGGAGGAGGAGGAGGAGGAGGAGGAGGAGGTCGACGCGGAGGAGGACGAGAAGGAGGACGAGGAGGAGGAGGAGGAGGAGGAGGAAGAGGAGGAGAGGTGGAGAATACGGACGACGAAAACGAGGATAAAAGATGACGTGGAAGAGGAAGGAGCTCTGCTTTCGGTTGTTCGAAGGGCATCTGCACGATGATGTTGTCATGGTTCCTGGCCTCAGCCATGGCAGCGCGCATCGCGCCGCGATCCTACTAGTTCCATCGCCATCGTGCCATCATACAATGCCTTCGGGGTCGCGCAATAGCCATGCGCGCTTCCCGCCATCGCGCCATTCCCGTCATCGCGATCTTGTGCTGATCAGCCATCGTGCCATCGGAGTCGTCGGCGTCGTCGGCACGCCGTCCTTCGCGCAGCCATCGTGGCGCCTCTTGGCCCAAGCCGTGTTTTTGGCAGGAGCTCGTCCTGCACTCGGGCGGTCGTTGTACAGCAGACCCGCCCGCCGCGGAGGCCTTCGCCCCCCCGTCCAGGGGATGGCCGCCGCGCCCTCGCCCCTCGCCGAGCACCGCGGGCGGCCTGACCAGGCCGCGCTGGACGCCGGGGAGGGCAAGGCCGCGGTCCCGGCCGTGGAGAACGACGGCACGAGCTCGGAGGTGCGGCAGCGGCCAGCCTGCTCCCATCCCCACCGGGCCATTGGTATCTCAGCCCTACCAGCCCACCCCCCAGGCGGGGATAGACTCCGCGCGACCCCAAGGAAGCTGCACACACACAAACACACACAAACATATACACACATTTATGTGTATGTAGATGTAAGTACGTATATGTGTACCTCTATGTATGTGCATGTGTGCATACATATATATATATATATATATACGTATACGTGTGGTTTTATATGTATGCATACGTGCATACACATACATTTATACATATGCATATACACACACTTGCACACACACACACATACATATGTATCCTCACCTGGGGAGTGTCGGGGGCCAAGGACATGCCAGTGGGCATAAGGGTCGGATTAACGATTCTCCGAGGTCTCGACCGAGCTTGGCAACGACGCCCCGCGGCCCCCCGAGTACCCGCCCGACGGCAGCGGCTGTCCCGAGGAGTGGGCGCAGCGCGACTGCCTCATCATATTCGACTGGGACGACACCCTGGAGGAGGAGGAGGAGGAGGAGGAGGAGGAGGAGGAGGAGGAGGAGGAGGAGGGCGAGGAGGAGGAGGAGGAGGAGGAGGAGGAGGAGGAGGAGGAGAAGGAGGAGGAGGAGGAGGAGGACGAGGAGGAGGAAAACTGGTCCTGAGGGAAACGGGTCCCTTTGGACTTCCGCCGACTTCGGGCTCCCGGGACCCTCCACGGGCCCGGGGACCTTCGGAACACGACTCGGGAGGATGAGCTCGTCTTGGGGGAAAGGCCGGGTCCAGGACCCGTTTCCCTCGGGACCCGCTTCCCCCCTGCTCAAGGACGACACCTTGCTCCCCACGAGCTGGCTGGGTGAGCAGGGCCTCCTCGGCAATCTTTCGGGAAGCCGGAAATGGCAGAAGCAGAACTTTGGGGAGCTCCGCGCGGATTTCTCGGATCGGCGCTGGACCCCGCTGGCAGCGCCTCCAGCGCCGCCACTGGCGCGCTCCGAGCTGCAGGGAAAGGGGTCCAGCGCCGATCGTAAAAACCATTGTGAACCTCCAGAAGTTCACGGCTGTGCCATCGTTTCGTTCCAGAATTTTCGTTCTCGCGCTTCTGGGCATCGAGTTCGGGCCAGTCTCCAGCAGCAGCGAGGGAGAATCTGATTCTAGACTGGAGGCCCCGCATGGACGTCTGCGGTGGATTTCTGTGCCCCTCGTCTGCGCCTCTTCCTCCTTCCCTCCAGGGGCAACTTTAGGGGGTGGGATAGGCTCAGGAGGGGATGTATCGACCCCTAAGCGCCCAGTGATCGCCGATGACGGCCTGACAGCCCCACCCCGCCCAGGAAGGTGCGGATTCGCCATCGGGGGCCTACCGCCGATGTTTGGGCGATGCATCGCCGACTACGTTTCCCCCCCCCCCCCCCCGAGCCAGTCCCCTCTTGCCGTTGCCCCTCATTCCCGTCCCGCTTCAATCCACGAGGTGAGCAGGGCCTCCTCGGGGAGGAGGAGGAGGAGGCCGTGATCAGCCCAGAGGTCGACGCGCAGCTGCAGGCTCTGGCCGACCTGGTCGCCGTGACGCTCGAGGCGAGACACCGCCATGCGCACACACCGAAGCGATCCTTCTCCCCCACGCAGACTGGGGTACTTCACCTCGGACACGTCCTCGGTGATACAGGAATGCAAGGTAGCCAACGCCACCCATCTCAATTGAAGGTACAACACCACCAGCCAACCACTTCTGAGTCAGATCCAGCAGAATCCACCAGAAGAAATCCTCTAAGGCCGATGACCTCGAACATCTTCAGAGGGTAATCGATGTCCGAGGCCCTGCCTCTGCGGAAGGCAAGCGCACCTGTCACCGACAGGTGGCCAAAACACCTTTACGGGTCGCTTCCGCAGAGGACTGGACACACGAGAGGCAAGCGCACCTGTCACCGACAAGTGGCCAGAACACCCTTGCGGGTCGCTCTCGTGCGTCCTGACCTTCGGAGAGGCAAGCGCAGTCGTCACCAACGACTGGCCAGAACACCCTTTCGGGTCGCTCTCCTCAGGTTATCAGGCCATACACAGTTGATAGAGTAACTGGTGCATCAGAAGAAAGTCCCACCGAAGCGATCCTTCTCCTGGTCCTCCTCCCTCTCCCGCCTACTCCTCTGGCATGATTCTCAGCTTCCGCCTCGTCCTTCCTCCCTACTTCCTCCCTCTTCCTCCTCCTCCTCCTCCTCCTCCTCGTCCTCTCTCCTCTCTACCTCCTCCCCCCTCTTCCCCCCCACCTCCCCGCTCCCCATCGCTCCTCCTCCTCCTCCTCCTGCTGCTGCTGCTGCTGCTGCTGCTGCTGCCGCGACCCCGGCACCCGTAGATCGGGTGTCCATTGGGGCCAGGCGTATGAGGATCGTCCATGCGCGCCCGCCCAGTGACCTCGGGCCCGCTTCGTGGATGAGGACATGAGCCACGGCGCATTCCGAAACCCTCTCTCCATGGGTGTGCGTCAAAGATGAGGAGGGGAGAACACACGTAGACACAATTAATCGTCGATTCCCAGGAAAATATATGAAAATATGGGAAGTGGGGGAAGACAAAAAACCAGAAAATATCGGAAAATATGGGGAATCCTGGGATTTGTGTGTATTTATTCTCTTGCGCAGCTCTAGAGCTCGGACATCTTTATTTTCGTCGTTCGTCGTGACGCCCCCCCCCTCTTCCAGGGTAGCCCCCCTGGGCCACGGAACCCTTTATTTTCGTCGTTCGTCGTGTCGTTCGTCCCCCTCGCCCCCCCCCCCGTCCCCCTCGCCCCCCCCCCTGTCCACGCTTCCCAGGGTACCCCTCGCCCCCCCCCTGTCCACGCTTCCCAGGGTAGCCCCCCTGGGCCACGGAACCCTTTATTTTCGTCGTTCGTCGTGTCGTTCGTCCCCCTCGCCCCCCCCCGTCCCCCTCGCCCCCCCCCTGTCCACGCTTCCCAGGGTACCCCTCGCCCCCCCCCCTGTCCACGCTTCCCAGGGTAGCCCCCCTGGGCCACGGAACCCTTTATTTTCGTCGTTCGTCGTGTCGTTCGTCCTCCTCGCCCCCCCCCCTGTCCACGCTTCCCAGGGTAGCCCCCCTGGGCCACGGAACCCTTTATTTTCGTCGTTCGTCGTGTCGTTCGTCCCCCTCGCCCCCCCCCCGTCCCCCTCGCCCCCCCCCCTGTCCACGCTTCCCAGGGTACCCCTCGCCCCCCCCCCTGTCCACGCTTCCCAGGGTAGCCCCCCTGGGCCACGGAACCCTTTATTTTCGTCGTTCGTCGTGTCGTTCGTCCTCCTCGCCCCCCCCCCTGTCCACGCTTCCCAGGGTAGCCCCCCTGGGCCACGGAACCCTTTATTTTCGTCGTTCGTCGTGTCGTTCGTCCCCCTCGCCCCCCCCCCCCCTGTCCACGCTTCCCAGGGTAGCCCCCCTGGGCCACGGAACCCTTTATTTTCGTCGTTCGTCGTGTCGTTCGTCCCCCCACCCCCCCCTGTCCACGCTTCCCAGGGTAGCCCCCCTGGGCCACTTTTATTTTCGTGTCGTGTCGTGTCGTGTCGTTCGTCCCCCTGCCCCCCCCCCTCTGCCCCCCCCCGCCCAGGCTTCCCAGGGCAGCCCCCCTGAGCCTCGGACACCTTTGTGCAAGAGCCAGGGCACGCGTGCCACTTGTTTGTGCCCCTGGGCCCCTTCAAGCGAGGTTTTTTGGCCGGCGCCTGGACGGGGGGCGACAGCCCGCCCAGGCACCGGCGACAGGACACACCCCGGGGGCAACAAAAAATCGGCCTGGGGGAGGACGGAGGGAGGTGTGACCCTGAGATCCTGGCGACCCATTTTTTTCGAGCTGGGCGTTTTCGCTCTCCATTTCGGGTCCCGAGGCCCTCACAGATCGATCCGGCTCGAAAAGTGACGCAGACAGATGGGGTCCAGGGCTCCAGGCGCGGATTGTCACGATGTTGCAATTTTGTTCGCTACGTCGGATCTCAGGGCATCAGGAAAGAACGGGGAGGGGGAGGAGGCGGACGTGCGGCAGGGAGGTGTGAGCCACCGGACCCCCGGACCCAGCGCGCAGAGGCGGCTTTTAGCCGTACTCGGCGGCCACCTGGATGCACCCCGAGGCGTGAGAGCGTGAGAGCGTGAAGCGGTAACAAAAAGTTCTCCTCCCCTGTCTCCCCGTGAGAGGCGAGGGCGGCCCCCCCCTGTGTGCGGCGGCGCCCCGCCTTCAGGCGGCCAAGAGGCGAGGTTCCGTGGCCATCGTGACCAACGCCGGGCACGGGTGGGTGGAGATCAGCTGCCGCGCGTTCTTGCCCTCGCTTGAGGCCGCCCTCCCTCTCTTGTCCTCCTTCTCCCCCCTTCCTCATCCATTCCTCCCCACTTCCTCCCCCATGTCTTCCCACTCCTCCTCCTCCTCCTCCTCCTCCTCCTCCTCCTCCTCCTCCTCCTCCTCCTCCTCCCCGTCCTCTTCCTGCCCCTCCCCCGCCTTTTCCCGCTCTGCCTTATCCCCCTTCTCTTCCTCGTTCTCCCTTTTTCCTCATCATCATCAACAGCAGCATCACATCCTCATCCTCATTCTCATCATCCTCATCCTCCTCCTCCTCCTCCTCATCATCATCATCAGCAGCAGCAGCAGCCGCAGCATCAGCATCAGCATCAGCATCAGCATCAGCATCAGCATCAGCATCAGCATCAGCATCATCAGTATCATCATCATCATCATTCGCATCATCATCGTCAACATCATCATCCTCATCCTCCTTATGATCCTCATTCTCATCCGCCTCATTCTCATCTCCATGCTCATGATCATCATCCTCATCATCATCATCATCGTCGTCACCATCTTTGTCATCTTCATCATCATCGTCATCATCAACACCATCATCAGCAGCATCATCATCAGTATTATCATCGCCATCACCATCACCATCACCATCACCATCATCGCCATCGTCATCTTCATCGCCCTCGTCATCATCGGCATCATTATGTCGTCGTGGTCATCGCCGTCGTCGTCGTTGTCATCATCACTACCAGACGTGTCGGTAGGGTGTGCTGGGGCGTTCTGCCTATATGATATTGCAATGTGTAGTATTGGCGCTTGGAGTCGCCAATGACTTTCAAAATTCGGTTCTCGCTGCAGAACCGCGTAGATCCGCCAAACGGCTCCAGCACTTACACCGATGGAGTGCAGGTGTTTTCGAATCCTGGTTTCTTGCTTGATACGTCCATGCGTTGTGCGACCAGACTTTGAAAGTTTCGACGCTGGCCGCGACCGAAAAAGTATCCCCACCAGCACGGTCCCGACCAGTACGGTCCGAGCAGTGCGTTGTCCACGGCCACCTCCACGGTGGGCTCCACGACGACATTGAGCAGCAGCGTAAGCGCGGTCAAGACGAGCTGCGCAGCGTCGAGAATTTCGACTCCGTGTCCTGGGGAACTCTCGCCGCCACGGCCAGAGCCGCTTGCTGCGGGAGGCCCCTCCCAAGACAGGTGCGATCCCTCCGACGGGACGCGAGCAGACGCGGGTGGACACGTTCGTACCCCTGGCATCGCTCCGACGTGTGCATTTTTTCTCGGCGAGAACCATTGACGACGATCCTGGACCATCGAGCACAAAAAACACGCACGAAATCGACAAATGCACGGGAAATGGACGTCCAAGCGACGGCACGTACCCTGGCGATGCGGCAAGACCGGAGCAACGACGCCGCCGCTGAGAGCGGCACGCCCGTTGGCGCCTCGCTTGCTGACTTCAGGGGTGACCCACCAGAAATGTGCAGCCACTAGTGCCCGGCAGTCCCTCCAACGAGCCTCGGCCCCACGAGGGAAATGTAGAAGAGCGGGATCCGCCTCCTCGCAGTGCAGCGTTGGCCTGGCTTCAGCTGCAGCCCAGTACCCCGGCGCCGACGCGGCGCAGCCAGACTGACGGTCTCAGCACAGCGCCTGGCTCGCCCCTCGCCCTTGAGGGTCAGGCTCCACGGCGGTGCCAATGTGGCACGATGCCCTTGCTGGGGCTGGCGCAGCGTGTCGTCGCACGGCCTTGCTGTTTGCTGCAGTTGTGTTCGCCCTGGCCTTCTCCGCACCTGGCCGCAGCCTGATCAGGCATCCCTCGACAGCGGGCCTTGTGACGACTGGTGATGGTCCCGATAGTGCCCCTGGCTTTGCCCCCCCCGCCCTTGGGGATCAGGCTCCTCGGCGCTGTCAATACCTGGCACGATGCCCCTGGGGCTGGGCGCAGCGTGCCACACGGCCCCGGCCGTTGACTGTAGCTGTTTCCACCCTGGCCTTCGCTCGGACCCAGCCACTTCCTGGCTTGGTATCCCTGGTGAACTGGCCCCCTTTCCTGGCCCTCCCGGCACCTGGCCGCTGCCTGGCCCGGCTCCCTCGTCAGCGGGCCTCGTGACGACCGGTGTTGGTCTCGATTCTGCGCCTGGCTTTGCCCCCCGCCTTCGGGGATCTGGCTCCACGGCGCCGTCAATACCCGGCACGGTGCCCCTTGCTGGGGCGGAGCGCAGCGTGCCACACGGCCCCAGCGGTTGACTGTAGTTGTTTTCAGATTGGCCTTCGCTCGGTCCCGGCCGCAGCCTGGCTTGGTATCCGTGGTGATCTGGCATCCTCTCTCACCATGGCCTTTGCTCGGACCTGGCCACGGCCTGGCTCAGTTTCCTTGGCACTGACCCTCCTCTCTTGTCGCAGGATCCTGGGCTCAGGTCACCTGAGCCCTCGTTGTATGCGATCCCGCTCCGTCCTTCGCGCCTTTGGCATTCATTCTGGTCCCGTGGAGTCGAGTGAGGCACCCTGGCGTTCAGGTGACGTGCGTTCTGACCAGTTACGGCACGAGTGTTTGCACTTCACTGGCCTTTGGTCCCCAGTCACCGCCACAGCCTGGCTGTGTCTGCCGTTGCCGCTGGCCTGTCGGGATTCTGGCCCGCTTGTTGACTCAGGAGTGGTTCATCCTTCTTGATCGACCATGTGTTTTCCTCCCTGTCGGTCTGCAGCCAAGCACGTTGGTCTGTTCATGCAGCCCCGCGCTTCGCCAGTTCCGTGGCTCGTCGACCTCTGGCGCCTGGATGCGACAAGGTCCAATTCATCCATCTCGGTGGTCTTGTCAATGGGGCGCCCGCACGCTTGCAGCCACCTGGCAGCCCCTGGCAGCTCTTGCAGCCTCTACCCTCGGCGCAGCCCAGCTTCCCCCGGCCGTAGGTTTTGCAGCTGCCTGCGCGCGCTAGGTAGCCCGAGCCGACCTGTGACGCCGCTGGCGCCTGCGCCTGCGGTTCGACAAAAAACTCCCCACCAGCAACCTCCCTGGCTCTCCTGGCAGCATTCGCAGCCTGCCTTCAGCCCCCGGCGCCTCTCAGCCTCCCTCGGCGGCGGCAGCCTCGGCAGCCGTGAGTGCGTCCGCTGGGTAATTAGGCTTCGCCCGTAGCCCGGGTTGACCTTTGACGCCGCCGGCGCCTTCGCCTGCGTCTGCGACGGAAAAATATCCCCACCAGCAGTTAGTTGGACGCCGCCCGACTACTTTCGGCGCGGTCGCGATCAAACAGTATCCCCGCCAGCCCATCCAGAACCAATGGCCAGGCGAGATGCCTTCATCGTGGATGTTTAGATTTGAGCAAGAAGAGGACCTCTGTCAAACCGGAGCTCGCGATCAGGCAGACCCAGGAGCCAATCTTACGTAAACGCCTTCGCGGATCGTTCGATGTGGGAACCCCTCGGAAGATTACATGGGCCGTCTTGGGGCCTTTTCGGGGCCATTTCCGTTGCTTTGGGGGCCTTCCCTTTTTGGGCTTTCTTGGGGCCTTCCTGGGGCGATCCAGGATTGCATCAAACAAGGAGAGGATTGTGAATTCGCGTCGCCCCGTTGGAGCCAAGCAAATCAATTCTTGGGCCCCCTTGGGACGCTCACGTGGCGCTCTTTGGGCGCAAGTGGGGCCGTGTTGGGTCTCCCTTGGGCGATCGTGCGAACATTTTGGGGCCTCAGAGGCCCATCGGAAGGGAATGTGCGAGAAGGCCAACCACCTGAGCCACTCCAGGTCACTCCAGGTTTTGAAGTATGGGTTTGGCTTCTCGGGGTCGCCTTTGGGGCTCAGAGGTTGTCTCTGTGCAGTCTTGGTGCCTCCTGGAGGCATGCTGGATGCCAGCTTGGGCCAACTTGGACCAGTGCGACAGTTTGGAAACCATATGAAGGCGTTTGGAACCATCTTGAAGCCATCGTGACCCGAGTCTGCCCTCGTCGCAGCTCGAACGATCGCCTGTCGTTCCCCTCTCCCTCTTTTTCTCTCCCCCCCCCTTCCCCTCCTCCCCCTCCTCCTCTTCCTCCTCTTCTCTCTCCTCCGCCTACCCAACTCGGCGCGCTCTCTCCTCTGGGTCTGTCCTGCCCCTCCTCTTCTTCCTCCTCCTCCTCCTCCTCCTCCTCCTCCTCCTCCTCCCCTTCCTGCCCCTCTCTCTCCCCCCCTCTCCCTTCTCTCCCCCCTCTCTTCCTCTCTCTTCCCCTCTCGACGTTGCTCAGACCTTATGCGTCTGCGTGTGGCGTTCTTTCAGTAAGGCCAGAACAGAGAAACACGACTTGGCACACAAGTACGCGGCGGGCGCCGCGGGACAGGAGGCACAAAAAGGGTGGCGGCCGAGAGAAGAACAGTCAGTAGGCGCCCGCCAGGTACTGGCAGCATACAGTGCCTGAGTAAGTCACCGTCATAAGCACAATAACCGTCCCCGATAGGAATAGGTACAAACTGCCTACGGTTTAAACGTGAACAGGGACATGGGATCTACTGATTCGAGTCAGATGGCACATACTATAGGCTGGCCATTGGAGTTGGCTGGCCTTGGTGCTGCAAGCCTGCGGCGGGAATAAAGGGTATGCTGATGTCCTCATCTGGGAGGTCAGATGCACAGTGTCTTTTGGCAGCCTTAGGTGAGTAAAGGCTGCGAAATGGAAGCACGTGCTCCTCCACCACCACTCCACCCCAACCTAATATAGTAAACCCCCGCCACCCCACAACGTCCAGAGGAGAGTAGGCAATGTGCACAGAGTAAGGTACTGCTCTGCGGAAACACCTGCACTGCCTTGCGATTAGTAAGCCACCGTCTGGTGGGCTGGCCAGTGGGTTTAGCTGACCTTGGTGCTGCTAGCCTGTGGCGGCAAAACACAGTCTTCTGACGTCTTCTTCTGAGAGTCAGGAGCACAGATGCTGGGCAAAGAGGCTGCTGGTAGCACATAGTCGAGGCTCCTCCCCCACCCACGCCAAACCGCCGCCTCTGGTATGCATCTAATGCCGCTGGGATCTGCTGTGCCAGTAGGACGGCACATCCTGTAGACTGGCCAGTGGTGTTGACTGGGCTTAGTGCTGCAAGCCTGTGTCGTGAGCATAACAATAGTATGCTGATGTCCTCGTCTGGAAGGTCGGGTGCACAGTGCTGGAGGTAAACTTATATGGGTAAAGGCTGCGCCATCAAGAAATGCTTCTCCACCACCACCCCAGACCCACCAAACATAGTAAACACCCGCCATCCCACTAAGTATCTGAGAGTAGGCAATGTGCACTGAGTAGGGCACTGTGTTGCGGAGACTGCTGTGCCGCGTGTCCTCCTCCTCCTCCTCCTCCTCCTCCTCCTCCTCCTCCTCCTCCTCCCCTTCCTGCCCCTCTCTCTCCCCCCCTCTCCCTACTCTCCCCCCTCTCTTCCGCCTCCACCCCTCGCGCTGGAGGCCCACCTGGCGGGCGTCAGGGTCGTGTCCGCGCGCGGATGCCACGAGACACACGGGGTGTTCGCGCCCGCGAGGTGGCGGAGGGTGGATGCGGATGGGGGGGGAGGAACGGGAAGACAGGGGAGGGAGGGGGGAGGGGAGAGGGGAGGGGAGGGAGAGGGGAGGGAAGGGGAGGGGGAGGGGAGGGAAAAGGAGGGAAGCGGAGGGAAAGGGGGGTGAGGGGGAGGGGAGGGGGCTGGAGGTGGAGGGGAGGGAGAGGGGAGGGACGGGGAAGGAGAGCGAGGGGAGGGTAGCCGGCTCAGGGTCAGAGGCGAAGTGGGTCCCCGTGGGTGTTTTCGCCTGCAAGGTGGCGGAGGGTGGATGTGGAGGGGGACGTGAGGGGAGGGAGGGGAGGGGAGGGGAGGAGAGTGGAGAGAGAGGGGAGGGAAGGGGAGGGGAGGGAAGGGGAGGGAAAGGGAGGGAAGGGAGGGGAGTTGAGGGGAGGGAGAGGGAAGCGGGGAGGGGAGGGGATGGGAGGAGAAGGGGGGGGGGGAAGGGGAGAGAGGGGGACGGAAAGGGACGGAAAGGGGCGGGGGGGGCCAGTCCCAGCCGGGGGCCGACGGCATGGGAGGAGAGGTGGGTTGGGACCCAAACCACCTCGCGTCGCGACAACATGGCGATGGGGGTCGACGTCGTGAACAAAAACATGACTTCGGGAGTCTGGAAAGGGGGGTTGAGGGATTCAAGCTGGGATTCAACTCAGGCAACTACGTTGCAGGCCGCAGGGAGGGCCCCCGAGTTCTCGGGGAGGGCGTGCGGGCGCCAGGCGAGAACACCAGGGGCAGCACGCAAGGGTGTCGGTGGGCTTGCGGCTCATTGGGTGCATCCGAATATCGAGACGGGCCGGGGCCGGGTTCGTTCGACGGGCCAACTCCGCGGGCATCCGATTGCCCACTTTGGACGCCAATTCGTCAGGACTCTGCATCGCCATGCTGACGGCCACAGCTGGGCCCTCATCCTCCCCCTCCTCCTCCTCCTCCTCCTCCTCCGCCTCCTCCTCCGCCTCCTCTGCCTCCTCCTCCTCCTCCTCCTCCTCCTCCTCCTCCTCGGGGAAAGAGGCCTTGTGCCAGCCGAGCGAGATGTTCCGCGCCTTTTCAGGGTCTTCGCTCTGAACACATGTTTGCGCGAGACACCATCCAGCTGGGAAGTTCACGGTGGGGGCGGGGACTTTGACGTTGGACAGTTCAGCCAGCTGGACCAAGGGGAGAGTCAGGCACAAGTCGGCGAGGAGGAGCGGGCGGAGGAAGGCACCCTGCGACAAGATGGCGCGGGTCAATCGTCGCGCACCGGCCGCAGATGTGGCAGAGCGTCAGGGAGAGTCTGTCCGCCCTCCCGAGCGTGTGAGAAGGGTGGGCCACTGTTCCCGGAATCTTGAGGCCTATACTTTGTGGAGGACGATCCATGGAGAGGAAGCATGTTGCCATAGAATTTCCAGATGTCTGAAATGTGTGTGTTGAACATGCTTTAAACATGTAGAAAGCATGTCTCAAACATGTTTCGAACATGTTTCCGACATTTTCAACACATTTTGAATTCAATGATGGGACTGTCAGGGTGTCCATGGTCGTGGCATCCACAAGCCTACGCCTAGGGGTAACCCGGCCAACCAGGGGAGGCCCAGCAGCAGCCACGAGGAGCAGGAGGGGCATGCGGGCTGCACGGGCTTGACACTGCTCCAGGGCCCTCGGGGCTGCTTTTTTTCAGGAGGGAAAGAAACACACAGACAATTAATCGGCGATTCCCCAGAAAATATGGGAAAACATGGGAAGCGGGGGGGAAGACAAAAACCCAGAACATCTAGGGAAATATGGGGGATATTTTTACTTGTGTGTATTTACTTGTGTGCCCCAGTTCCCCTTCCTTTCTGTTGGAGGCAGGCCTCGCGGGCCCGCCGCCTCGCCTCGCGGGCGGAGGCGCGGGGCCGAGGCCTGCACGGTGCGCACCACCCGGGCCCGAGGCTCCGCTCGTGGGTCGGCGCCTCCGCTCGATCCGCGTCCCGCGCGGCGCCCGGGCATCGCCACAGCGGAGTCGACGTCGCTCCGGGGTGGGCCGCCCGCCCCCCCCCCCCCAACGCCGGCTCCGCCTCCCTGCCCGCCCAGATATGTCTGCAGCCACGTCTCGCCGATGGCTTGGCATCGCTCGGACGTGTGCGTTTATTCCTTCGGCGAGGACCATCGAGGAGCATCCTTGACCACGTGGCGACAAAACCACGCACGGAACCGAGAACAAGCACAGGGAATGGACGTCCGAGCGATGGCCAGATGGCTGTTGCCGCCTCCTGCTCGGCCGCAGAGCTGGCACGCTCGTCGGTGCGCGACAGGGCCCACCGCGCCCCAGCTTCGCCAGGCCCGGTTCTCCACGCTTTCCCGGCTCGTTCCCAGAGGTCCTCGTGGCGACGACTGGCTCGGGGAGATTCAAGAACATGTCCACAGGACCCTGCAAGATTCATCTGCTCAGTGACGAGCTGAATGTTGCCCGATGCTCTCTCCAACACTGAGCAAGACGCAAGGAGCCCGGACCTCGAGACACTCTGATTTGGGGGCCTGTGAGGGGGGCGCCAACAGCGGCATGCGGGGCAAGGTTCCCCTGGGCGTCGAGGTCAGGGACGACGATAGCTGCCCCGCAGTACTTGCGACGGGGATATGCCGAGTGCTTCTCTTCCCGACCCGTCCCCTTAAAACTAGCATTAGCATCCAGCCCCCCCCCTCAATGCAATCGCTGAAGGCACCTGGTAGATGGAGCTCAAGCTCCGACAGCGGCGCCTCGTCACCTCGTGGAGAGGCCAGCTCGACTGACAGTACTCCGAGCCAGACCGCAAGCTGGCTCTCGTACTGAACCAAAGCAGCGGCAGCTGTCGGCTCCGCCTTCACGCCATCGTCGCGAGATCCCGTGACTCTGCGGGGGATGCACCGGGCGCCGCCGCCGCTCGGGTGCGCTCCGGAAGGCTCCGAGAGCGCTCCCGAACGCTCTGAGAGCGCTTCATCCCGGTCCGAGCCCCTCAGAGAGAGAGTCGGGGGTTGCTAAAGGTGACCCTGGCCCAAGGTGCCCACAGCTTTCCGCTCCATTTTGGCGCCCCTGGGGCCCTATGGGCCTCGCGAGGGGTGCTGCGGAAGCTGTGGGTGCTTCCCTGGAAGTCCTGGGGGCACCTTGGGCCAGGGGCACTTCTAGCAATACGCGGGCTTCGGGTGAGCTTGCCTCGGATCGGTTCACGGTTCGAACGGGCTTGAGACTTGTGGTTGGTCGGTCTCTCATTCGGGTTGCCGCAGGGGAGAACGTGGCCTTTAGTCCACCAGCACACATCGGGAACCGCAGGAGAATCTTGATTACAACTCGGCCGAAAACAGTTTGCCAACTCATTGCCGTGCTACTCGGAAGAAGAAGTCAGGGACGGAAGGGACGGGCGGGGAGGCAAGGGACAGGGGCGAGGCAGGGAAGAGACGGATGAGGATGAGAGGGGAGGGGAGGGGAATGGAGGTGGAAGTACCTCGCGTTCAAGGAGCTGGTGGGCGAATTCTGTAGCGCCTCTGGCGACACAGAGGAACTGCCGAGACGAAGAAGCATCGTCTCGCTGGGCGACTCGGAGCACGAGATGGAGGCCTTGAAGTGGGTCACCGCCGGCATAGAGTGCCACGCCAAGTGCCTGAAGTTCGTGCAGAAGCCGTGCCTCGAGGACCTCATGGAGGAGCACGAGCTCGTCGCCTGCCTGGTCGACTCCGTCCTCGACCACGACGGTGACCTCGACCACGAGATCGGCCCGGAAGACAGCTGAAAGAGAAGGCATGCCGAGCCGAGACGGGGCGGTGGCGGACGAGGAGGAGGAGGAGGGGCGAGGGAGGAGGAGAACTGCGCGGATGGCAATCGACGCCACAGTGGAAGGTTAAGAGGTGGTGGAGTTTCGTTGGGCCCTCCTCCAGGGCTGTCGGGATGTGTCTTCTCTGGCCGAGGTTCCCTCGAGGAGTCAGGGCGAGGGAGGGGGGATGCTCTACGGATTCCGCGGGAAGACCGCCACGGCGGCTGGAGAGGCCCCCCCGCCTAAGTCGGGGCAAGTCTGGAAGAGGAGGGTGGTGGTGAGGAGGATGAGGGGGAGGGGGAGTCGAAGGAGAAAGCGCGGCATAAGCATAAACTTTCGACGGTCCGCGCGCCAGGGAGGGAGGGAGGGATGGGGGGCCCAGCGCAGATCCAAAACATCTGGGCGGACCGACGGAGGTTTCTGCTTATGTGCAGTTCTCTCTTCCAGAAGGCGGGGGGGGGGGGGGCGTGAGGCACTCCGCGAGAGCATGCCCGTCTGGGTCGCAAAGGGGGCGCAGAGGCTCGGCAGATTACGCTGCAAGTCGATTGAAGCAGGGAGCTGGGACACTCTTGCTGGGACCTGGGGCACAGTTCCAGCTCCGAGGTTCCTGACACGCGAGAAGCAAAGAAGGCGGGGGAGCAGAAGATGCAAAGGGGACGAAGAGGCTTGCTAGCTCTGCGAAACAACGCGCCAACTGCTCCAGGGTTCCAGCTGGTAATGGTGGGTAGGTTGTCGAGCAAGGAACAGCGATCATATCACATGAGGGCCTCTGGAGGTCACCTCTCGCATTATGAGGACTCTTGCGGGCTACCGGGGTGTTCGTGGGCTGTCTGGGCATGTCTTAGGGCTCTGTGAGGGCTCTCTCAGGTTATCTTGGCGCCATCTTAGGCTGTCTTGGGCCGTCCTGGGGCCCTCTTGGGCAGTCCTGGGGCCTCTTCGGGCGCTTTTGGGGGCCTCTAGGGGCGCTCTGGGGGTCCCCTGTTGGGCCGTCGGGGGCTCCCTGGGATCGTTTTGAGGGTCTCTGGGAGCGATTCCAAGATAATGCTGGTTCGGAGCCCTTTCCAGTGCCGATTTGTTGAGGATGTCCCGCGCGAGACGGCCATTTTTCAGAAACCTATCCTGGCAAGAACGGGAGGCGCCGCTTCTCTGAGTTTGCGTGCGCACCCGCACGGACGTGCACACAACGCGACATGGGTACACGTGCGGTACCGTCGCTGGGCTTCTTTGAATACTCAGATGGTTGCCGTTAGTAGCTTGCGTTTAGCGGTTTGCCTGCGGATGCTTTGGTCCAGCTGTTGCGCGCGGCCTGGCCCCCACGAGGCCCCCAGGGTGCCCCAAGCTAGCCCCAGAAGGTCTCAACAGCCCGCAGAGTACCCTCATAAGGTCACGAGGACCCCTCTCTTCTTCGACGTCCTTTTGTCGGGCTCCTTACCGTCCTTTCTCGCCGTCGTCGTCGTCCTCTCTTTTCTTATTATTGTTCTTCTCCTCCTCCTCTTCCTCCTCCTCCGCCGCTTCGTTCCTCCTCGTACTCGTCCTTCTCCATCTCTTCCTCGTCCTCGCGCTTGTCTTTCTACTCGTTGTCCTTCAGTCCCCCTCGCTGCCTTCCCCGTCATCCACGCTGCCATCCTCGACATCCGCCGCCTTCTCGTCGCCGTTATCCTTCTCTTCTCGTCCACCCTACGAGCCCAATGGACAACCTCGGCGCTTCCCGTTCTTGTCCGATGAGGTTTCTTTTGCGGGAAGTGATCCATTATAAGACATCCGCCTCTTGGGATCTAATACCGCGAATCAAAGGTACTGTTGCGTCCTGATAGTGAAAATAATGCCAGAGCACTACTCCGGTGATATTAACCATAAGAGCCCTCGATATTGCCGCATGGTTGTAAGACGAATGTGCGCGGCGCTGAGGCGAGAGCCACATTTTGAAAAGGAGCCGCCGTCCATCAGTAGAACCGCTGCAAAATTTTCAGACGAATGTGCGCGGCGCTAAGGCGAGAGCCACATTTCGGAAGCGACCCAGCTCTCCATCCGTGAAACTGCTGCAACAGTTCAAGGCGAATGCGCGCGGGCGGCATTGAGCCCAGAACCACAGGCTGGAGACGACCCGCCCTCCATCTGTAAAGCTGCTGCAGACTTTGAGCACGAATGTGCGCGGCGCGAAGGCGAGTGCCACATGTTCAAAACTACCCGCCCTCCATGCGTGAAGCTGCTGCACACTTCAAGCCTCGGGCTCGTCAGTGGCAAAAGGGAATCTGATGCGAGACGTCCGGCCCGCCCTGGCCGTGTCGGGGTGCGACGGGGAGGAGTTGTTGTAAGAAGGGGTGGAAAGGGAGGAGGAGAGGAGACGAGATGGGAGGAGAAGGAGCAGGAGGAGAAGAAATGGGAGGAGAAGGAGCAGGAGGAGGAGGAGGAGGAGGAGGTCCAAAAAGGAAGCAGAGCCCCTGCAACAAGAGCGTGCGCGGGCTCCCTGCGCTTTCGGTGCTTGAGCACTCTTTGTAGTGATCGCGCGCGGCGGCTGGCTGAGGCGCTGCCGTCTTCCATCGCTTTGCGCCCGAGGGCCCCTGTTGGGCGCATCCAGGACGCCACCGGCCCCCTCGGGCGCACTTGGCGGCAGCCGTCGAGGAGCTTCCCTCCCCCCCCCCCCCCGGCCCAGCTCCTACAGCCCCCGCATGCTGCGCCTGGCGCCCTCCGGCGGCACGTCGCCGCGCCTCGCATCCCAGGGCTGGACCTAAACGGTGTTTTGGCGATTTCGTGGGCCGTTCTCGTTCCGACTTCGTTTTGCGTGAAAGGCGGATTGAAGACAAAACGAGGGAAAACGAAAATTATCCTGGCGAAGGACCCAACCATATGTAGTTGTGAGTATCGCAATTGGGAGTATCTTCTTCGGTGGCGCTCCCTATGGGGCCACGGTGTGCCGAAATGTGGCGGGGTACACAACGCAAAGGATTACGATTGATCTGATTACGAGAGAAAGAACGCGGGTGAGTCAGAGCGCGAGGGAATCTGAGTATGAATGGGTCTGCGCGCGAGTGAATATATTTGCATGAATGCGATCATGGAACCGCCTAGTGTAAGTGTCGAGCATGCCTGTCCGAACACACGTGACACTGGGTGTGGCCGCCGCAGGCAGCTTCCGCGGGAACCCCGACAGCAGCGTCCGCACGTCGCGACGCCCATGTCGGCACGCCTCTTGCGAGGATCGCGCCCGCTTTCGGCTCTTCTTTTCCTTCCTCTTTGCCCGCGCACTCCAAAATCCAAGGCTGCGGGCGCAGCGCAGCGCGGAGTCCCCGCGACGCGCGCTGGTCGCCCCGGGCGGGGTCCCAGCGACGCGCGCGGGTCGTCCGCTGCGCGAAGCAGAGAGAGCTGACTAGCTAACTGGCTGGCTGATAGCGGGCAAGTCTCTGACCGCTGGGCAGAGCGACGACGGGCGAACGAGGCGCCGGGCCCCCCGCAGCACGGAGTTCCCGCGACGCGCGCTGGTCGCCCCGAGAGGGTCCCAGCGACGCGCGCGGGTCGTCCGCGGCGCGAGGCCAAACACGCCCCGAGAGGGTCCCAGCGACGCGCGCGGGTCGTCCGCGGCGCGAGGCCAAACAATTAGTCGGGCAGTCGAGAGAAGGCGCGGCTCGGGGGAGACGCTCCTCAGGTCAGGCCTCGCGGATGAACTCGGTGAAGCCGAGCTCCCTGGCGAGGGCCGTCGCTTCCCTCCTGCACCGCTTCGTGCGCGCCGCAAACTGCTCCAGCTGCTTCCGCAAGCCCTGCGGCGGCCCTGCCAGGAAGAACTCGATGCGCGGCGCCCGCATGAGCAGGAGGTCCTCGTGGCGCGTGGCGCGCGAGAGCAGCACGTAGAGCTCCAGCCACCAGTCGTCGTCCTCCTTCTTGCCGTTCCCTACCTCGTGGCGGCCGCAATCCAGGATCACGCCTGGGCGACGTCGACCGAGGGAGCAGCGCGCCGGGCAGCCGACGGCCCAGGGCGAGAGTCCACAGGACCGAGAGATGGTCTGGCCGCGGACTGCTCGCGCCCCGGAGGTCTGGCCGCCCCCGGAGCGCCGTTCCCCCGCCCCGTCGCCTTCGCGCATGGTGCGCCCCTGGCACGCCACCGTGGTGATGACCCTGCCGTGCGAGAAATGCGGGGGGTGTGCCGAAATGGGTGGGGGTGACGCATGCGGGCGGCGGCACTGAGGCCTTCGGTGGAGCTCCCTATGGAGCCACGAAACGTGTGAGGGGTGTGCCGAAATGAGCGTGGGGGACGGACGCATGCGGCCGCGGGCTCTGGGGCCTTCGGTGGAGCTCCCTATGGAGCCACGAAACGTGTGAGGGGTGTGCCGAAATGGGTGTGGGGGACGCATGCGGCCGCGGGCACTGGGGCCTTCGGTGGAGCTCCCTATGGAGCCACGAAACGTGTGAGGGGTGTGCCGAAATGGGTGTGGGGGACGCATGCGGCCGCGGGCACTGGGGCCTTCGGTGGAGCTCCCTATGGAGCCACGAAACGTGTGAGGGGTGTGCCGAAATGGGTGTGGGGGACGCATGCGGCCGCGGGCACTGGGGCCTTCGGTGGAGCTCCCTATGGAGCCACGAAACGTGTGAGGGGTGTGCCGAAATGGGTGTGGGGGACGCATGCGGCCGCGGGCACTGGGGCCTTCGGTGGAGCTCCCTATGGAGCCACGAAACGTGTGAGGGGTGTGCCGAAATGGGTGTGGGGGACGCATGCCGCCACTGGGGCCTTCGGTGGAGCTCCCTATGGAGCCACGTGTGAGGGGTGTGACGAAATGGCGTGTGGGGGACGCATGCGGCCGCGGGGCACTGGGACTTCTTTTATTTTTTTTTTTTTGATTTTTGTTTTCCCTTTCTTTTTTTTTCTTTCAAGCTCCCTCCCTATGGAGCCACGAAACGTGTGATGGGGTGTGCCGAAATGGGTGTGGGGGACGCATGCGGCCGCGGGCATGGGGCCTTCGGTGGAGCGGGCACTGAGGGGTGTGCCTTCGGGTGGGACGCATGCGGACGCGGCTCTGGGGCCTTCGGTGATCCCTATGAGCCACACGTGTGAGGGGTGTGCCGAATGGTGTGATGCGGCCGCGGGCACTGGGGCCTTCGGTGGAGCTCCCTATGGAGCCACGAAACGTGTGAGGGGTGTGCCTAATGGGTGTGGGGGACGCATGCGGCCGCGGGCACTGAGGCCTATCGCCGCGGAGCTGGGGCCTTTGGAGCCACGAAACGTGTGAGGGGTGTGCCGAAATGGGTGTGGGGGACGCATGCGGCCGCGGGCACTGGGGCCTTCGGTGGAGCTCCCTATGGAGCCACGAAACGTGTGAGGGGTGTGCCGAAATGGGTGTGGGGGACGCATGCGGCCGCGGGCACTGGGGCCTTCGGTGGAGCTCCCTATGGAGCCACGAAACGTGTGAGGGGTGTGCCGAAATGGGTGTTGATGATGATGATGATGGGAGGGGGGAGGAGGCAGCGGGAGGAAGGAAGGAGGGAGAACGCGGGGCACCGTCTCTTCAAAACGAGGACCCAACACCACAGGATGGTTGGGAACAAAACGAAAACGAAAAACACCGTTCAGGTTCAGCCCTGTCGCATCCCCCTCTCCGCGGCCCAGGCCCCCGCGAGGTCGCATCCGCACGGCGCGGCAGTGCCGAGCCTGGGGCGGGGCCAGGACGAGGATCTCGGCATCGCTCGGACGAGTGCATTTTCCTTTCGGCGAGGACAGCCGAGGAGCATCCTTGATCATTCGGCGAAAAAAAAAAACACGCACGAAACCGAAAAAAACACAGGGAATGGACGTCCGAGCGATGGCGAGGGATACATCCCTCCCAGAGCGTTCCGGAACGCTCTCAGAGCGTTCCAGAACGCTCTGAGAAGGCCGCGGCGCCCGAGACATCCCCCTGATCCGCCGGGTCTCAGAGATTCTCGATCAATGCGTCCCCGATGTTATCCTCGTCCTTGCCAGTCGGGCCGAACGAAAGGGGGGGATTGGGAAAGGGGGGGTTACGAAATCTGCTGCATGCAGCTGGTTTCGGCCCCGCCGCCGGGCCCATTCCTCGATACATGGGCGCCTCCGGCGCCGGGAAAATCAGCTACGTGAGCTGATTCTCAAACCCCCCCTTTGCTATCCCCCCCTTTCGCCCGACCCGAGCCAGGTCCAAGGGAGCGCTCGCGACGTCGCATCCGCAGGACGCGGCAGTGTCGAGCGAGGGGTCGCGAGTCGGCGCCCCCCCGGGCATCTTCTCGGAGGAGGGCAGGCCGAGACGGCGGTGGCTGGCCTTCGGGGGCCCTCTCGCCGCCACGGCTGGACGCAGCTCAGAAGGCTTGGCGCGTCTGGGGGAGGAGGAGGAGGAGGAGGAGGAGGAGGAGGAGGAGGAGGAGGAGGAGGAGGAGGAGGAGGAGGAGGACCAGTGGAAACCCAAGAGTCATCAACGATGTTGGAACAAACCCTCCCTCCAAGCTCCCTCTTCATAGGCCCTTACAGCGGTTCACTTCCATTGAGGGAGCTGCCTCATTGGAAGACAACTGTTTGAAGACCCTGAAGCATGCCAAAACATTGCTCTCGGGATTCCAACGCCACGGCTGTTGCGTTGTGACGATCCTGGATCGTGCCAGAACGCCATTCTTGGTACTTCAGCACCGCGAGTGAACGAAACGGTTGTACACTCATAATCCTGGATCCTCCCAACACACAATTTCTGGTACTTTGACCATGGGAATCCGTGAAGCTCTGGCAAACGTTATTAACGAATGTGCGCGGCGCTAAGGCGGGAGCCACATGTTGAAAAGAAACGGCCCTCAATCCGTGAAACTCTTGCACATGTTATTAACGAATGTGCGCGGCGCTAAGGCGGGAACCGCATTTTGAAAACGGGTCGCCCTCAACCCGTGAAACTCTTGTAATGTTTAAAAACAAATGTGCGCGGCGCTAAGGCGGGAGCCACATTCTGAAAACGGGTTGCCCTCAATCCTTGGAGCTCTTGCAAATGCTAAAAACGAATGTGCGCGGCGCTAAGGCGAGAGCCACATTTTGAAAACGACCCGCCAACCATCTGTGAAGCTGTTGCCAAAGTTGAAGCATCAGGGTCACACATGGTGAGGAAGTCTTAGGCGAAACGCCTGGGCCGCCCTAAAACTGGCCTCGGGGTGCGACAGGGAGAAGTTATTTATAAGGAAAAGGAATGGAGGATAACTCGGGGTCGATTTTGAGCTGTCGTTGTCTTGAGTTGCCCTGCTCCGACTGCGTGCGCCGCTCCTTGGCCCAGGATGGGCCTGGCCATGGGGTGGTAGATCTGCATAGATTTCGTTGCCCTACACCGTAGACGGGCTAATGGCGACGTAGGCAACGGCGACGTAGGTTTCGGTCGTGCAGGAACGCGTGGCTCGCGCGTTCCTGCAATTCGCTGTGTCGTGCTCGCTCGATCCATTCGCAGATCGGACATGTGGGAAAGTGTGGTGCGTGGTTTCCTGCAATTTGTTGGCTCCCAAAATAACCGTTAAGTAACATCGCTGTTAGCCCAGCGTTGGATGCACAGATCTCGTCGCCCTACAGCCCGCCAGGGGGCCTCTCGGCTCGCAGGCGCGCTGGGGGCTTCAGTATGCGACCCGGTGCCCAGTCCTTTTCGGTCCCGCGCCTCGCCAGCGCGCCTTGCTTTGTCGGTGGCCATGCTGCGAGTGAGTGCGCGAGCACCTATGGCCTTCTTTTCCTCGTGGGTCGATTGTACCACTATGAGTATAGGCCTCCCGTGTGAGGCCGGAGTAGATGGGGTCGGAGGATCTCGCCGCATGGCCGATACATCGGTGACGTGGCGCGATCTGGACTCCGACGTTCTCCGTCCCGACACCGCTGGTGCATCAGCAATGCATCGGCGACGCGGTGCGGTCCCCAGACCTCATCTACTGCAGAATGACGACAGGTACCTGGGGTGGGCTCGTCACGCAGCACCCATCTAGGCGATGATGAGCAACTGCAGTTCTGGGCCCGCTCGTCGTCGTCGTTGTCGTCGTCGTCACTGAGATTAGCTAACCATCCCATCCCGAGCACATCCCAGCGCCCCAGACCGTTCTGTTTTCCTCGCCCCACCCGTGCTTTCTGCTTCGCCGCCCCCCAGACCCCCGACGTAATGATTTTTTCATTACGTCGACCCCCAGAGGTCCCGACCCTTTCCCCATGACCGGCTTTGCATCCTGAGTCGTTTTTTGACGCTCCCGAGGCCCGGCGAGGGCCCCCGGAGGCCAAAAATAGCGAAAAACCTCCCGTCGTGATTTTTTCACGACGCCAGGAGGTCTGGGTGCTTCGCCGCCCTCCCTCAGCACCCGGGCCCCGCCCGGGAGCCTGGGAGAGGCCCCTCCGATATCCCGGGCAGGCCGCGCCCAGACGGGGCGGGAGAGTGCACGGGGCCGGAGATGACCCCGCCGCATCGCCGGTGCATCGGCGGTGCGGCTCCATTCCCAGACATCCGACGTCTCGATTTTTTCGAGACGCGGGCGCCTACCCTCACGCAAGGGTCTTACATGGTCTCTCGTCTCTCGTCTCTCGTCTCTCGTCTCTCGTTTCCTCCTCGTCTCTCGTCCTCCTCGCCCGAAAACCGCTTGAGGCAGACATCCGACGTCTCGATTTTTTCGAGACGCGGGCGCCCGACCTCCCGACCACTTCCCTGGGACCGGTTTTTCATCCCGAGGCGTTTTTTGACGGCCCCGAGGCCCGGCGAGGGCCCCGAGAGGCCGACAACGACGAAAAAGCTCCGTCTCGATTTTTTCGAGGCGCCCGAGGTCTGGGTTCGGAGCCCGACTCTCCCAACCCCGACGCCGCTCCCAGAGGTCCAACGTATGGACAACACTCAGGACGGCGGTCTTTGGCCACTGTCGGCCTCTGGAGGCCCTCGCCGGGCCTCGGGAGCGCCAACGAAACGGCTCGGGATGAAAAACCGGCTCCGGGGAAAGGGTCCCAGACATGATGGAGTTGTAAAAAAAAATCAGGACGGGAAGGTTTTCGCTATTTTCGACCCCTGGAGGCCCTCGCGGGGCTCCGGGACCGTCAAAAAACGACTCGGGATGAAAAACCGGTCCCGGGGAACGGGTCTGGACTTCCGGGGTTGCCGTCCTGAAAAAATCAGGACGTCGCATGCCTGGGGTCGGGACTTTGCGGTTGCAGTTTTGCTTCGGTTTTTCAGAACTCGTCGTTGCGTTCCTTTTCCAACTGCTTCGGGTTTTCAAACTCAAGCCGGCCGCGGGGGAAGGGTCGGGATTGAGAATTCGAAGATCTATCAAGAACCCTCGGGGTGAAAAGCCGACCCCCCTATGGAAAAGCCACGACGTCGGATCTCTGGACGGGTGCATCGCCGCGATGCTGCATCGCCGCGATGCATCGCCGGTGCGGGGCGGCCCACCGGCCCGACGGCCCGATACGTGGAGGCCCGGGCCTCCACGTCCCGGGGGGATGCGCAGTCGTTGTGAGCACGGGCGGCACGCCAGCGGGGCAGCCGAGGTCCTCCTCCTCCTCCTCCCTCCTCCTCCTCCTCCTCCTCCTTCCTCCTCCTCCTCCTCCTCCTCCTCCTCCTCCTCCCTCTCGTCCTCCTCCTCCTCTCCTCCTCCTCCCCCTCCCCCTCCTCCTCCTCCTCCTCTCCTCCTCCTCCTCCTCCTCCTCCTCCTCCTCCTCCTCCTCCTCCCGACGGCCCACCAGTCGGGGCGCCGGCACGTGCGGCCCGGCGGGGGCCCCTGGAGGGGCTCCCGGGTGCTCTGGGCGCGCCGTGCTGCCGGGTCGGGGCGCCGCGTCGCGGCCGAGGCTCGCCGCGGCCAGGGAGAAGCCGCTTCGTTGATGGGCCGACTTCGGGAGGAGAGGCAGGAGGAGAGGGAGGAGAGGGAGGAGAGGGAGGAGAGGGAGGAGAGGGAGGAGGAGGAGGAGGAGGAGGAGGAGGAGCAGGAGGAGCAGGAGGAGGAGGGCCTCCCCATTCCCCGTCCTGACGGTGGAGAGTTGGCCCATCATTCATTCCTCGTTCACGGTTCCGCACGGTAGCGCAACCTTCAGATCCGACGTTGTGAGCAAGAATGCGGCATCGCAAAAAGTCGTCACGATTGGAGATCTAGGCCCCATCTTTCTGCGGCATGTTTCGAGCCGGGTCGATCTGTGGTAGTCCCAGGGCTCGAAGTTGTGCGATAACCCCAGCCCTGAAAAAAATACAAGGCCCAGATCTCAGGGCAGGGCTATATTCCGACCCCATGTGGGCGGCATCCAATCTCAGGGGCGACATTTGGGGGCGGGGGGTGGGAAGAGGAGGAGGAGGAGGAGGAGGAGGAGGAGGAGGAGGAGGAGGAGGGAGTCGCGGGGTAGGCTCAGGGGGGGACGCACCGACCCCCAATGGCCCATTCATCGCTGGTCGCGATCTGATTGCCACCCCGCCCAGTACCATGCGCGGATTCGCTATGGTGGGCTCTCGGAGATCTATCGGCGATGTACCGCCGGATCGAAGGATTGCAAAAAAAAACCCGAATGATTGCAAACAATTGAACGAAGGATTGCAACAAAAACGAAGGATTGCAAACAAAAACCGTTTTTTTGCAATCGCTCGATGTTTCCACCCCCCGAATCGGTCCCCTGGTGGCATTCGGATCATAGGTCGGGCCTCCGGCGGGCGTTCGGAACGATCCAGCCTCGGGAGCGCTCGCGGCGAGGCGAAGCCGCTGGGAGGTACCCCAAGGCTGGAAAGCCGCTGGGCTCCCCCATCTACTCCGACCCCATCTGGGAGGTCTCCGTATGAAATGGCACAGATGTGCTCGCGTCGTAACAGCAATCACGACGGGGGGGTTGTCGGCATCCAGGGGCCTCTTGGGGCCCTCCCCGGGCCCCAGGACGTTACAAGTTACCCTGCGACGTACCCAATCCATCGGCGTCAAGGGATGATGTAAGGTGTGCCGACAATCATGTGACAGTAACACTACAAGAGACAATGCACGGCGGAGAGATATATATATATATATATACATATATATATATATTAAAAGTGTGTGTGTGTGTGTGTGTCGTGCAAAGTTTGTGTGGCCGACTCGCAGAACAACGGTACAAAAGGTCAGGAGGCATTTTACTGGGAAGAAGAAGAAGAAGCTAAAGGAAGATATTGGGGTGGAAGAGCAATTACCTCGGCAGAATCGGCGAGATAATGGCAAGGATTTGGGGGATCTGCGTGGGACCTGATAGCCCCCCCAGCAGCCTTCGAGGGTGAGGACAGCTTCACACTTCGCAGCCGTTTGGATCTGCGTGGGGCCCCACTGCTGCCCCCCCCCCAGCAGCCCTCGAAAGTGGCGACGGCTTCACGCTTCGCAGCCCCCCAGGGATGGCGAGGTCTCGTTTGGATCTGCGTGGGGCCCCACTGTTGGCCCCCCCGGCAGCCCTCGAAAGTGGCGACACTTTCGCACTTGGCAGCCCCCCTAGGGACTCAGTGGGGCCCCAATGTGCTGCATCACACTTCACAGCCACCCAGGGATGGCGAGGTCCCGTTTGGGTCTGCGTGGGGCCCCACCGTGATGGCCTCCCCAGCAGCCTTCGAAAGTTGAGACAGTGTCACACTTCGCAGCCCCCTAGGGATGGCGAGGTCCCCGTTCGGATCTGCGTGGGGTCCCAGAGTGCTGCCGTGCCCCGCAGCCTTCGAGAATGCCAGCAGTCTTACACTTCGCAGCCCCCCAGGGATGGCGAGGTCCCCGTTTGGCTCTGCGTGGGCCCCACAGTGATGGCGCCCCCCAACAGCGCTCGAAAGTGGCGACGGCTTCACGCTTCGTACCCCCCCAGGGATGGCGAGGTCCCCGTTCGGATCTGCGTGGGACCCCACTGTTCTGACCTCCCCCGCAGCCCTCGAAAGTGGCGACAACTTCACACTTCGCAGCCCCCTCCAGGGATGGCGAGGTGAGGTCCCATTTGGACATGTGTGGGACCCCACTGTGCTGCCCCCCCTCAGCAGCCCTCGAAAGTGGTGCACACTTCGCAGCCCCCCTAGGGATGGCGAGGTCCCGTTTGGATCTGCGTGGGACCCCACTGCGGGCTCCCCCAGCAGCCCTCGAAAGTTGCGCGACAGTTTCACATTTCGCAGCCCCGAAGAGGGATGCGAGAGGAGAGAGCCGAGAGGAGAGCGGGGGGGCGAGGAGGACGAGAAGATGGAGACCCCACTGCTCTATTCAAAACGAGAGCCCAAGCAAAGAATGGTTGGGAGCATAACCCTGCGACGTACCCAACCCATCGGCATCAAGAGATGAGATAAGTTGTGCCGACAATAATGCGACATTAACACTGCGAGGTACGGAGCACGGTGGGTATCTATGTCGCGCGAAGTGTGCGTGGCCGACTCGCAGAACAGAGGTACAAAAGGCCAGGAGGCATTGTACTGGGAAGAAGAAATCACAAGGAAGACACGGGGGCGGAAGAACATTCACCTCGGCAGAAGCAGCGAGATAATGGCGAGGTAGTTGGGTGATGTGCGTGGGACCCCACACATTGTGCTGGCCCCCCAGCAGCTTTCGAAAGTGGGGACAGCTTCACACTTCGCAGCCCCCAGGGATGGCGAGGTCCCCGTTGGATTGCGTGGGGCCCCACTGCGCTGCCCCCCCCAGCAGCACTCGAAAGTGGCGTTACCTTCACCCTTCGCAGCCCCCCAGGGATGGCGAGGTCTCGTTTGGCTCTGCGCGGGGCCCCCACTGTGTTGGCCCCCCCCCGGCAGCCTTCGAAAGTGGCGACAGTGTCACTCTTCGCAGCCGCCCAGGGACTCTGTGGGGCCCCAATGTGCTGTATCACACTTCGCAGCCCCCCAGGGATGGCGAGGTCCCGTTTGGGTCTACGCGGGGCCCCACCGTGATGGCTCCCCCCAGCAGGCAGGCGAACGTGGCGACAGTCTCACACTTCACAGTCCTCCAGGAATGGCGAGGTCCCGTTTGGGTCTGCGTGGGGCCCCAACGTGCTGGCCCCCCCCGGAGCCTTCGAAAGTGGCGACACTTTCACATTTCGCAGCCCCCCAGGG